AGCAAGCCACCAAATCCTGTGCTCAATATTTTTATTCCTTTAAATAAGAATACATAGACTGAGATGGGTAAATGTAGACATTAACTAGGTCTCTTTAGTCAGTTAGGGTTAGCAATCTGAGGGTACATCTGCACAGCAGTGTTATTTCAGAATAACATAGTCCGTGTCTACGCTACAAATAGTTATTACAACATAATGTTGAAATAATGTCGAGCTGAAGGACTTCTTACTCTGACTCCTGTAATCCTCATTGTAAGAGGAGTAAGGGAAATTGGAGGAAGAGTGCTCTTTCTCAGGCTTTTACACTGCCAAAAGCCAAAATAAGCTATTTCGACTCAACCTGCGCAATTGACATAGCTCAAGTTGCATAGCTTATTTGTCTTTAGCCCTGCTATGTAGATGTTTCCTATGTCACCTCTATCTAACCTTTGCTGATACATTTCGTGATGTCATCTATACAGCTAAGATCCTCTCTTAGAAGCTCTGACCCCATTAAAACTCATATCCACATTATTTAAGGGCATCATGTGGATTTTTGTTCAACATTGAAGCCACACAGCTGAGAAACCTAAAACTAAATACCAATACTTGATCTTGAAGTAGAGGACAATTTTCTAAGCATACCAAAGCCAGTTTTACTTGTAAAATCTTAAATGGTGTCTTTAAAAGAGCTATTTTATAAGGATAGTGTCTCAAAGGTTTTCTTGTCATTTCTTTACATACACACACACATTTCAGTTTTGTCTGGTTATAGTGAATCTGCAGAAGCTTTCTGCATGAAGCATACTGGTAGGCATTGCAAGTAGTCACATTTAACAGTAAGACAGAAATGTTTCAGTGACAAGGAAATTTATTCTGACCCCTTACAACTTTCAATGAGTTTGTAAAGATTGAATGTCAGCACTGCATTTTATCCAGAATTTTAAAATTTATGGGACAAATTTAGCTTTCACCCTTGTAATACTATTGAACTCAATAACAAACAGGTTTGTCCCTGTAAGAAAAATGAAGCAAGAGAGAAACCCTGGAGCTCTGTGTTTCCCTATGTCAATTTTAGTATGATGTCCACAGACATAGACATTCCCAATGCTAGTGGAGCCTCAACATTCCTGTTTTCCTGGATATATGTCATTAATTTTATATTCAGACACTGACATTCTAAACTAGTCAGCAGCTGGTTTTGCTCATTTGGCAACAGCAGGCACATTGAAATGCCAATATGTGCAAGTGTGAAAATTAGAGATTTAATAGGAAATTTTTGAATGACTTTAATATAGTTAAAGATGATAGACTGGAAGAGTTTCAGGTTCCCCTGAGCAGAAGCGAAAAGATTTGGTTTTCCATGTCCTTTCCACCTATCTGAGCTGGAGAATAGCCAAGGGCCTCTTTGGTTACTGCATAATGTAGAGTTTCCTCCTGATTGCTCTAACTTATGACAGTAATAAAAATCCCATAGGAACCTTTTCATTCACAGGTTCATAGGTTCCAAGGCCTGAAGGGACCTTTGTGATCATCTAGTTAGACTGCCTATATATCACAGGCCATAGAACTGCCCCAAAATAATTCATAGAGCAGGTCTTTTAGAAAAGCTTTCAACTTGATTTAAAAATTACTAGTGATGGAGAATCTACCATAAACTTTTGTAAATTGCTCCAATTGTTAATTAATCTATTAAAATGTATGCTTCATTTCCAACCTGAATTGATCTAGCTTCAGTTTCTAGTCATTGGATCATGTTGTATCATTCTCTGCTAGCCTACCATCAAATATTTGTTCCCTATTTATATACTGTAATCAAGTCATCCCTTAACCATCTCTTTGTTAAGATAAACAGATTGAGATCTTTGAGTCTATTGATATAAGACATGCTTTCTAATAATTTTTTACTCATCCATTTCCCAACAAAATCCTGTAAGACAGTTTTGGAAAACTATGTAACAGTGCTCACTCCCTTTGTTTTTTCTCTGAGGGTATGTCTATAGTACATGGCTTCGTCAACGGAGCCATGCAGATTTAAATAATTGCCACTTCATTTACATCAAAATGGCTGCCGCGCTGTGCCAATCAGCTGTTTGTCAGCACAGCGTGGTAGTCTGGACTCTCCGCGGTCGACATCAAAAGCCTTTGTCGACCGTCCCAGTAAACCTCATCCCACAAGGCATAACGAGGCAGTGGACAAAGGCTTTTGATGTCGACCACGGAGCGTCCAGACTACCACGCTGTGCCAACAAACAGCTGACGGGCACAGCGTGGCAGCCATTTTGATGTAAATGAAGCGGTGAGTATTTAAATACTCATTTATTAGTATTTAAATGCTTCATTTTCCTATGTCTACAAAGCTCATCTACATGGCTCCATTGACGGAGCCATGTAGTGTAGACATACCCTGAGAGAGATCACTTAAAAGTCTGTTCCTATTTGCACTGAAACATTCTCATGGTTCTTCTCTGAACCTTCTCCGAAACCAAGATGCTTTGGTTTTGGCCCCTTATTCACGGGATCCAGGACTGGGTGATGTAGGGCTAGTTACATTTGGCCTTGTATGATTTAAGGCTTCTCCACTTGTCAGCCCTCTATTTGTCCTCTATTTATACCACTGGTGTAGCACTGAAAAGGGAGCTAGGATCTGGCCCCTATATATCATGATAGAAACAAAGACAGAGATATTTATGGGTCCTTTTATGGCATATTTCTGGTGGGATTCAACTCAATAGTTAATCTCCTCCTACTGGCATCAGTGAGAATAGGAATAGACTTTTGAGTGATCACCCTGTCCCACAGAAAAATCAAAGAGAGTGTGCACTCTTGCAGTTTTCCAAAATTGTCTTAGAAAATTTTGGGGGTAGAATGGATGAGTAAAGAAACACACAGAAATTAGACTCCCAAACACTGCTGTTTCACCAGGCCTTGCCAGAGACACAGGGCAATCTGTGAAGAAGCCTCGTATTCCCATAGGCTATGTCTACACTGCATGATTATTTTAGAATAAGCTATTCTGGAAGAAATATTCCGAAATAGCTTATTTCGAAATAGTGCATCTACACTTCAGGCAAGTCTGGAAATTAGACTGAGGCAGGCCTCCCTATTGTGGATATGCTACTTCAATTCAGAGCCCCAGGAACCACTAGGGAGTAATTACTTTGAATAGCCTTCGGGAGGAGCTATTTCAAAATAGCAGCAGTGGAGCGGCCAAACTACTGCTATTCTAAAATAGCTATTTCAGAAGAGGCATTATTCCTTGTGGACTGAGGTTTACAAATACCAAAATAAGCCACCTGTTATTTCAAAATTATTTTGAAATAACAGACTAGCTGTGTAAACGCTCTCATAGTTATTTTGGAATAACGGGCTCTATTTCAAAATGACGCTACTGTGTAGATGTACCCATACTGACCCAAGTCACCCCATCCCTGTTTGTTAGCAGCATGCTTCTGTTGGACCCCCTGTTGTCATTGGAGAGAACACTGCCTTGGATGAGAATCCCACAAGAGTTTCCACTTCTGCAGCATAAGGACATTAAAGGGTCTATATTGCTATGCCTGTCCCCCTCCCACTCTCCACCAACCCCTTCCCCCCAGACACTCGTTTTATGTTGCTTTTACTTTAACATAAAAGAATGGACTTTTAATAGAGCTTCATTCAGGCTTCTAAGCCCTACATACAAGTTGTGTGTGTTTGGCTTCATGCCTTTATCTGTGCAGTATTCCTGAGTATACTTAAATTGTTGGGTTTTTTTTTAACAAATCCTAAGAATTCATTAAAAATAAATCTGTGGAAAACTTGACCTGCAGTATACATATTTCCCCATCACTTGAACTTTCACATTCAGCTGCATTTTGTGTGTTTAATTTTGTCTCACACTGTTAAAAGGCCTCATCCCATATTTGGCCCAGGGTATACTACAGTTTGCTCCATTAACTGAATGTGAGGCATAGCATTTTCATAAAACAGAAATTTTAATGTAAATTTTGCAATGCTAATTCCTTGCATAAGAGACCAAGGGATAAGTAGTGGATTACAGTTCAACCTTCCCCTGGTGTCCATAAATATTTACTGTTTCTTACTCTGTTTCAAGACACACATGAAATTCATCTTCCTGGGGGAGAGGGAAGGGATGTGGAAGGGAGAAAATCATCTTTAAAGTATAAATGTGCAGAAAATGAAAACAGATGCATGGAAAGGAAAAGAGAAGCTGGTGGGAACATTACTGAACTGAAACACATTTTCCCTAGGAGATGACAGCATTGTGCACTTCTTTAAAACTTCCCACAGACAGACAACTCCCCTGTGGAAAAGCTCTCAGGAGGAGGTAGAATATAACCTCAGGGAAGAGAAACAAATTGGAAATGTGTCACATTCCCAAGTGAAACTTCTAACTGAATTTGTATTGTCCTATCGTTAATTAAAACACAGCTCTTTCCCAAAGAGCCAAGAGAGAACAGTCTTCAAGTAAAAAATAGAAATCTGTTCTAATCCTGTTTATTTGGAGAGGCCTGGCTGGCAACAGACGTGCAATAGGGTGATCCCAGTCAGCTCTGAACTGACACAGTGACATGATGACTGGGCTTTGAAGATAGAGCAGCAGTGTTTATGTAGTGAGCAGCCATGGTAGAAAAGGGAGGAAGGGGGCGGAGGGGCTGGGAGGGAGATCGGGAAACTGTAACTCATTGTGGATGGGCTGAACTGGCCTGGGTGGCAAGCTCTTAAAGCTCAGAACATTCATCAACCTGCCGAGTGGGCCCGACATCCTGGAGCCATCGCTGCTCTTGCTCTCTCCCTTTCTGTGTCAAGCATGATGCAGTCCAACTGTGTGGAGACAGCACAGCCCAGCCAGACAAGCTCTGGTCAGTGCAAATAATCACAGCTCTGACTCCTTTCTCTGTTACTCAGCAGAGCCTGGCCACAGAACACAGAGTTCTCACAGGAAGTTTACGTCAGTTCTCTTTCTCACACACTCACACATACATACACAGAGAGAGAGAGAAAGAGAGAGAGAAAGAGCTAAATTCATTCAGAGTCTAACTCCATTTAAGGCAGTGGAGTTACACCCAAGATAAGTTTGATCTATGCTCTTTAATGTTGCAGATACTAAAGAATTTAAGTCCCAATTCAGTTGCCACATCAGTTTTATACTAGAACGACTCCACTGGCTTCAGTAGAATTGCTCCTGATTTACACCAGCTTGAGAGGAGAAACAGGCCCTAAGCCTTTTTACAGGGCTTTGAGCAAGATGAACCAAGTTTTCTGATCTCCTCCTTTTTTCTGAGGTAATTTAAACTATTATTTTCATTACTGTTCTAATATGATGGTATCCTTCTCTAATATGAGATTTTTATTATTGAAATGTGAACTATTTCAAACTTCATTAGTTATTTTTCCTATATAAGCACCTCAGTCCCTAACATTTGCTTCCTGAAAAAGCTGCAGTGAGAGTGCAGGATAACTAAGATATGGTTTTCCACGTGCAGAAAGAATTTAGCTGTAACTGTCTCATTAACAGAGACTGTATGGCTAAATTCCAATGTACCATGCTTCATATTTACTGATAAGGATTTGGCATGAGTCTAAAAAAGCCAAGCAGTTCAGGGGTTAGACTGAACCACCATTTATAATTTACCACATTGTCCCTAACTATTCTGATTCGGTTGCCTCAAGATACTTGCCTTTTTGAGGCTCCCTGATACATATCAGCTGCAACATGTGGTCACATCCGAGTGAGTCTTCAGTTAACAATAGCTTCAGCTCCACAGAGCCAGGGTTTTGTCTTTTTTAAACCTGAACCAGAACACCACCTTATTTTGGGACTGGAAGGAGAATTTGTTCAACTTCAAAGCTTTTGTTTTAATAATTTTGGTTTCTTTTGTAGAGTCTTATTTAAATAAGCTTTTTAAAAAAATATGCACATAATAAGACTTTCTAAATTAATACGAATTCTACAAATGATTTCTGCCAGCTTCCATAAACCCATTTCTGGTATTTTTCCACATTATTTTCCAACTTTTAAATGAATGCTAAAAGCTCTGTTGGACCCCATACATTCTGTGATCATTATAAAAGCCTTACATATTTCTGTGTTATTTATTCGGTAATAGTGGACTTTCAGCCCAAAGAGTAATTGAAATATAAGCTATGGTGCCTTTCTTCCCAAAGAATCCACACACATTTTGTCCATATACGCCCCCAAATTAAAAGAGCATCTCTATTCAGGACAGCACTTAACCATATGCTGACCATTAAGCCTGTGCTTAAATCCCCTTGAAGTTGGTGAGACTTACAGTCGTATTTGTGTCAGTCTGAATAGGGATAGATATAAAAACATGCTTAAGTCTCTTTTTTAAATAAGACCTTAAAGAGATATACAAGGTATGAATAGGGATCACCTCACAATCATTGAAATGCAACCGTCTCTGGGCTGAATCTGAACAGAATCTTTTATTCAAATAAAATGTAAACAGAAATGGAACATGGACAAAATGTAATTTATCTAAGAAGGCACTTTGCTAGGAAACAAGGCTAACAACTCTACACTAGAGGAAAATACTATAGGATTCTTAATAAACACAAATATTCAGGATTTCAGTACCATGTCTCCTCTAGAATATGGCACCTTCCGCAGAACAGGTTGATGTTTGGTCACTGGCCCAGTTCTGACTCAGAGATGGTCATCTGAAGAAGTGTGCCCACGAAAGCTCATGCTACCATCTACATGTTTTGTTAGTCTTTAAAGTGCTACCAGACTATTTGTTGTTTTTTAAGTTTATCAGAGAAGAGAGTACTTTCCTGTTCAGGCCATTTCCTGCAATACCAGCGTATTTTTTGGAGGCCCTCAATTCCAAATACCAACCTAGTCCAGTTCCGCTCAGTGTGCAGGACCCAACAGGATGTCATCCCAAGGCAGTATGGCTCCAATAGGGACTCCTCAAATAAGGAAACACTACCACATATAAGTAATTATCTAGGTTTTACATTTACAAAGAAAATCTAGAAAACATGAAGTTACATGTAACCAAGACAATATCAGACAGAAGTTTCAGAGAGCCTGAAAAAAATACATTTGGGAGAGGAGCGCTGCTCCATTTATTTCAAGGGGTATTAACTCAAACACCCATTCCACCATTCATACTGCCACAGCTACTCTTCTATTTTTAGTGCAATAGATCAATCAGAGCTAGCATGTTTATGTTGCATAGTGAGAATTTTACCTCCAGATCCAGTGTAGACACACCCAAAATGACACCTAAAATTAAATAAACTTGACCAGTGTCACAGAGAATGTCAGTGCCAGAGCCAAGATTAGAACTTCTATCTTCAAGTTCTTTACCTCAGAGGTCTCAAACTCCCTGCCACCGCAGGGAATGGAGGTGGGGGGAGGTGCACGGTGCACTGCAGTCACAAGGCTCTTGGGCATCCCCATCCAATGAACCACAAAGCTCTGTGCTTGGGAGAAGGGATGCCATGAGGGGCAGAGGGTGGGGTGATGGAGGGAAGGAGCTGAGCATGGGGCTAATAACCAACAGGACCCTGCCTCGGTCCACTGGGAGCCCCAGGCCAAATTGTGCAATTGCTCTGGCTGGGACTGGCCCATGGACTGGGAGTTTGAGACCCCTGCTTTACCTACATCATTAGGACACTGTTATATCTATTAAAGCTACATTTTAAAAACTATAATTGTAGATTAACAGATCTCTGTTTAACTAACTCATGCAATGATGTACACCTGGCCATCAGGCCAGTCAGAATACACAGGTACATGATACCACAATTCTGACTCTTCTGCACCCACAGCCCTTTAGGTAGGAATAAATGCATTGTAATAAAAGAGTGCAGTAAGCTTTGAAAATGAACATGCCTTGAGGTTTAATTTTCCATGAGCGCCTCAGCATTTATGTAGCAGCAGGTGACCATTATCCTGTGGCAACATTTGATTCCAGTGACATTCTCTTAACCCTTTCTTCACAGTCGGCGCTGCCCACTCCTGTTGTGCTGTCAGCATCCATTAACATTCCATTGACATCAATGAAATGCTAGGTCAGAGCAGACACGTTCTTCAGAAAAGCTGGCGCATTCTTACCTTGACATACCTGAAAGTTTGGCAAAACTCATATTGTTAATCATAACATACGGTGCCAGTGCTTAGTCGAGCTCAGTTCAGAGGCATGTTTTGTGTTTGTAATTCAGAGAGTCAGATTTTAATTCCAGAAGGAACTATTAGATCATCTAGTCATGCTCTCCTGTCATTGGTCTTTGTTATGCCTTTCTCCACTAAATTAAAAGACCTTTTAGTTCTCAGAAAATTCTTTCCATTAAGGTACTTATATAATGTGCTCAAGTCACCTCTTGATCTTATTTAAAAGCTAAATAAGTTGAGCCCCTTTCTTTTCCCACTCTAAGGGTACATGTACACAGTAACATTATTTCAAAATAACTTAGTCTGCATCTACACAGCAAGCAGTTATTTTGAAATAGCGTTGAAACACTGTGAAGCTGGCGGACTTCTTACTCCAACTTCTGTAACCCTCATTGTACAAGGAACAAGGGAAGTTGGAGGAAAAGTGCTCTATTTCGAAATAAGCTCCCTGCTATTGAGACAGAAACTAATAGTAACTTTTCTAAAACATTATGTTATCCTATTGCTGCCACCTTGGATGAAAAAAAAATCTATAGCTAAGTTTTACAAACTTATTGAGAAAAGGAGGCAGGTGAAATTGCCTTTGAAAAATTAAGGAGCTATTTTGCATTTTATTCTTAATGCCTTGGTACATTTTCACTGACCATACCTTAGCAATGATGATATTATTAATATTATGTTTCGTCGCTATTTAAGAATTTAGAGCGAGAAAATAGCAAATGCCTCTGCAGAGCCTGCCATCTAGAATACATTCTAAGCTGCACCATATCAACTTAGGCCCTGAAACTGCCAAGTTTCTGCACATGCTTAACTTTATGGGATTACTCAGAGTGAGTAAAATTAAGCATAAGTGTAAATCTTTGCAGCACTGGGGCCTTATAATGTATCTTTCTCCCTTGCCAACTGGTAGGACTTTTAAGTATAAAATTAGTAAGAATAAAATTGTGAGGACTGAGGCCAGTCAGCTTAAGGTACTCAACTTCACCTACGCAAAATGTATAGCTGGAGTTGGCTTATCTTAAGACGAGCGGCATCCACATTGCAGGAGGAGTGGCCGCCGGCAGTAGTTGCCCTCTGTGTTTAATTTACGGGTCTATACTAGACCCACTAAATCAAACACCAGAAGGTTGAACTCTGGAGTATCGATCTTCCAGTAAGTATAGACATGCCCCGAATGCTTTATTCATCATACAATATCTCTTTACCTCTGTTTTCTATACCTTTTGCCAAACAGTCTCAAATTATTTAATTCTGCAGTTACAATTTGTATTGGAAATGGCAATGGAAAACAAAGGCTCAGTTCTCCTTTCCAATCAGAAGCTCTTGTCTGCCCTGCAGATCACTTTCAAAATTCTGCAACTGGGGTTAAATCCTATAAATGGACTCTCTCATGTGCACAGATGCACCTGGATGAATCAGTCTGCAAGATCTAGCCATTGTTCTGTGCTCTGTGAAATCAGTGAGAGTTCCATGTGCAAAATGAGTGAAAATTATGCCAGAGGGCAACCCTTTGGATAAAAATCCAGAAGCTGGATTGAAAAGAATTTTGCTCTTAAAAGATGTGTATTTATTGCATAACTGTTTTAAACAAAAAATGGCATGAATCAAGCCCAAACACAAATACTAATCCAATCCCAGTTTAATGGCTGTCCCCTAACTTTATGATGGGTTGATCCAAAATTCTTGATGTGAACAAGATGAGAGTTTGGAGAGAAGGACAGGTCGGTGGGGAAAGCACAAGTCTAGGAGTGGAGCAATATTGATTTTGTTTCTATTCCAGTTTCTGCCACAGATTTCCAATTTACTTAGCTAATTACTTAGGACCACACAATTTTAAAAAGCAGCCTCTTATTCTGAGTGATTCGGTTTTGTGGTGCCCAATGGTCCATATGGAAGGGGAGATCCCATTGATTTCAAAGCTACTCAAAACTTCCTTTAAAAATGATATTTCAATGATTTGGGGGAATGCAGGAGATCGGAAACACATTTCTGCACAATTTGGCAAACCCTTGCCACAAGCCACTCCCCCTCCTCCCCTTCCCTCACCGCCCCCCCCCCTTTTAGCACTATGGAAAATCAGACCTTGAGTATCTAATGCTGGACAATTTAATAACATGGTCCCAAAAATTAGAGACTATTTAAAAATATGGACTTTAACTTCTCTTTGCCTTGGGTTCCCTTTCTGTAATTATGCGAGCACTAATGCTTACCTATGCTGAGACGATTTAGCTGCAGGATTTAGTATAGGTTGTCTGTAGGTGAAGTATAGAGTAGGTGAAGGACAGTGAGGAAAGTGCTAAATAAATATTTTAAAAATATTAACTAATTGTGATTATTGTTTTGCAGCTTGGCCCTAACTCTATCATCTCTTCGTGATTTCTTTTTTCATCAGTACAACTAAATATGGCTTGCTGTCTGATTTTGTACAGTACTTTGCACAAATTCCATCTACTCACCACTGTGCTCCTTAGTGTGCGTAATGAAATATTAAGAAAAATCATCTCTTCTGAGAAAAGTGCAGGAGGCTTGCATTTCAAAAAGACGATAAAACTACAAGATATTGATTTTGAATATACTGTAACTTAAAAAATCATAGTAAGCCTAGCTGCAATGTCAGAGGCCTGATCCTGAAAAATGCAGGATGTCCAGTAGGGTACAGTGTCCTATTGGAAGATCATCATAGGAGGCACTCAATACCAACATCAAGCCCTAAATACTTGAAAAATCTTTTAAAGAAAAATTACATCACAGAAAATAGTATTTGACTTTCTAGAGCAACATGCAGACTCCTAAGTAGCAAGACCTAGACCAGGGATACTTAGACCTCAGTGATTCAGAAGCCAAATTAGCAATCAACATTAACCAACAGCCATAGTCGTGTGAATTCATTGGTTCATTTACTAGACTACTATTCATATTTAAGCAGTTTGACATATATTCTCACAGCAAATAAGTTAATACATTGCAAAATGATGATTTAATTGGTTAATAATGCAGTAAAATCATTGTGATTGCTTAATAACTTAGACTGGTTAATAAATAAATCACATGATGTTTTAATATCATTTGTCACAAAAAGCTGCAGGATACACATTAAAGAGCCATTTACTGCTTAAAAGCTTCAGTATGAGTATCACTGACATAGACTAACCCAAATAAAACACCAGTGAAATATATATAAACTATGGGCCTGACTTTCATTCACATGAAGGTCAGTACAATGTAAAAGAGCTATACTTAAATGAGATTCAAGCCCTTGAACTATAATAGAGAAAATTCGGGTAACTTTGAACTCATTGTTCTGGCTGTGTTTTACAGTTGTACAATAAAAACCTGATTCTCCACACAATAATGCAGGTGAATAAAATAGGACCACTTACCTGCATAAAGTTATTCAAATGTAAGACTACGTGTAGGATCAAGGTCTCAGAAGGTAGCATATCTGCAGTTGTTTATGTGAAATAACAAAACTAATAAAAAGGTAGTTTTAACATAGTTGGCACTGAGGCAGAAACTAAATCTGCTGAGACTGCACAGCTTGAACTGAGTTTACTATGTCCATGGAGGAAAAAAGACAAGCCAGGCTCCTAACTAGGAAAGTTAATTAGCCCAGCTTTTTGTTGGCTGGGTATTTCTATTTAATTTGCCCCTAGGTTTTAGGTTACAATGATTTAGGATTAGAGACAGAAAAGTGTAAAAGGAAAACTTGGCTCAAGGCCTTAAAATGAAAAAAAAACTCTTCTGGTTAAAATCCTCCTGCAGTACCAAAGATGTAGAGGTGTGTTCCTTCTAGTTATGCTTATGGGAATATTTCTCATGAGATTACAAACAAAAAAGACATCAGGGTACTAGGGATTAATTAGTAACATATCGTTCCTATGAATTGCACAATACAATCCTTTCTCACATTCAGTATATTTTACTTAAAAATAATGCTTATAACCATGAATTCTAATTAATATAAGAATATATATATAGATATATAGATATATGAAATCTTTCCTCAACTTTTTGGGCAAAAAAGGCCTTCTAGTTATAAATAGGTATGCTGGCACATTTCTGGTATGAACATTTTTTTATTTCCAATCTTTGATAATAAGGGTTGGCAATTTGCTTCTAGTCTTCCTAACTTACTAAGACTAAGCTTATTTGAACTGGAATCAATAGAAGCTTCAGGTGCTTGGAAACTCTGAAAATGACCATGTAAGGGTGAAATGATGGTCATATTGAAGCCATGGTACCAGGATTTTAATGTAGGTTCTAAACTTAATACCCAAAAATCAATGCTTCCAAAATTAGCAGCCACCTTTGAAAATTTGACCATAAGCTTATCCCTGGCTCAACTGCCTTATCTATAAAATAGGGAGGATATTTATCTGCCACACCAGGTATTCTGAAGCTAAATTTATGTTTGCAAAGCAAACACTTTGAGGTCTTTGGATAGAACAGGTTACAGAATACAAAGTACTTTCATCATGCCTAGATACAATGATGTTTCAGCACGCTATAAATACTTACCTAGAGAGAGATAGGAAGGGTGGGAAGACCTTACAAGTCATTCATTTATTGAAAATCTTTGGTATCTTTAGCTGAAAATTCAAAATTGCCTTAATGAAACTGGGGAGTATACTTATCCTAACCACTGTGTAGTGAAATACTGAGGAAGAAGGGTATACCTGTCCTGAGTATCTTCCCCCTTATATCTTCTAACATAAGCACCTTCTTTTTCTTGTCTTTCCCCATTCCTTTTCTCTTTCTGCCATTCCCCTTTATGGAAGCTTCTTCATCTGGCCCACCTTAACCAGCTACCACTCTCTGGCCTTGTCTATACTTAACTGGATATTGACATGCCAGAGATCAATCTTTCAGGGTTCGATTTAGTGGGTCTAGTAAGGACCCACTAAATCAAACTCTGACAGGTACAACCTTAGCATTACCTGGGATCATGAGAGTAATGGAAGTCAACAGGAGAAACTCTCCTATTGACCTCCCACAGTGGACCTACCGGAGAAATTTGATTTAAGGTACATCAATTCCAGCTATACAGTTCTCCCTCAGAGTAGACATGCCCTCAGTGTGCACAACCATTCTGAGCTCTGTGCCAATAATTCTCTGAGGCTTTCTTCTTCACTGCTGCTGTGTTCTCTTCCTGTGCAGTAGGAGACAGGAACTGGCACTAGAGGAAAGATAACTGAGAGATATTTTGAGATGACCAGCTTGGGGAAGAAATGGGTTCCCAGGAGACAACAGGTAATGTAAGACTCATTCCTTCCATAAGGTCTGACACACAGCACCTTCAAGCAGCTAGATGTGGTCCCTAAAGCTCTGCAATTACTCAAAATCTTAAGTGAGGCGCTATTGCAATTTGTTGTCCAATGTGAAGTATTTTGTGAGGATAAAAATAAATGTTGCTAATAAAGTGATCCATTTAACATGAACAGAAATAAATATATGAAACATTTTAAATGAAAATATGATCCCAGCAGGGTTTGAACTGAATGTATTTGAAATAAAGGCCTACTGGGCTAAACTAGATTTTTGAGTAGTCACTAATGGAATTTAAAGGAGTCGTATCACTGACTCACAGAGGGAATCTATTCTGTTCAATGAATGCAATCAAAATATGTTAATAATTACAAGAAATTTCTTCTTAAACTAAATGGAAGGGCTACATTTTGACAAACTGCCTCAGCAATTGCTCTCATTTATCCAATTGCAATTGCAAATGAAACAGTTTTGTGTTTACATATCTGCATCTGTGGATAAAAATAATTGCTCCTTGGGCACAGGGAAATGTGTTGAGAACTGGCTAACAATCAAAGACATTTGGTACAACCAATGTGTAGTTAGATGATAGCAACTGCTACCTATAAAACTTGCATGCAACGTTGCAGTGAAGACCATACTTGATTACTTATGTTTTGCCTTTACAATAAAATATGTGAAGAATTTTCCCACATTTTGAAGTACAGGCAGTCCCCAGGTTATGTACAAGATAGGGACTGTAGGTTTGTTCTTAAGTTGAATTTGTATGTAAGTCGGAACTGGTACATATTGTAGGGGAAACTCTAGCCAAACATTTCTCCAGAGCTCAGTTTTATTCTCCCACGCCTCACTTCCCTCAGTCCTTTATTCTCAAGCTGAGGTGTCTGCTGAGAAAAGCCGCTCTGCGTCTCCCTGGTCTGTTGGGGGGGGGAGGAGGCGCTAGCTTCGCGTCTCCCTGGTCTGCTGGGGGGAAGCAGCTAGTGCGGGGTTGCCTCATCCCGTTTGTAAGTAGGGATCCGATGTAAGTCGGATCCATGTAACCCGGGGACAGCCTGTAAACTTTTCCCCATAAAGACATAATATGATTATCTGTAAGTATTGTTGCTGGGAGGGGGAGGAGGAGGAAGGAATACAGACTATAGAATATGAATGGTCAGTGTGATCAAGATAATATCCTAGTTTCCCATCAAGTTCCTAACAGTAGTGCTCATTTTCTCACTTTGCTTTCAGTTACTGTCATGAGTCTCCATTCCCTAATATTTCCATCATTTTACATATCTAAAATATTTTAGCAATTTTCCAGCCTGGTGATTTTTAAGAGTCAGTTCACCTGTCAAAAGACAGAGAATTATTATCCTGTTAACATGAATAGACGTCATACATCTAAACCCTTTATGTATTGATTCCACATTAGATTACTGAGCCATATCTCCCCCTCACTCACCCCAGACACATACACACACAAATAGATGTCAGATGACAGAAGGAGGAGCAATGATCTCAAGCTGCAGTGGAGGAGATCTAGGTTGGATATTAGGAAAAACTATTTCACTTGGAGCCTCAGAGGGGTAGCCATGTTAGTCTATAACTTTTAAAAAAACTAAAAACAAAAAAGAGTGGTCCTGTAGCACCTTAGGCCATGTCTACACTAGGAAACTATTTCAAAATTATTAAATTCAACTTAATAACTCGATTTAACAAATTCAGACTAGCGTGTCCATACTACGGGGAAGACTTGAAATTAGTCTGAGGCAGGCTCCATGAATGTGGACACATTACTGCAGACTTAGAGCCCCAGGAACCACTGGGGAGTAATTAATTTGAATTACTCTGGGGAGTAATTAGTTCCAATTAGCAGCACCAAAGTGTCCACACTACTGCTATTTTGAAATTACTATTTAAGAATTAGCATTGCTCCTGATGAAAAGCAGGAGTACACAATTTGAATTCTGCAGCTCATTATTTTGAAATAATAGGCTTGGTAGTATGGATGCAGCGCTTATAAATTCGAACTTGGGTGTGTTATTTTGAAATAAGGTCCTAGTGTAGACCAGGGCTTAGAGACTAACAAAAAATATATATGTATCATGAGCTTTAGTGGGCACAAACCACTTCTTCAGATGTGTTGCTGTGCCCTATATATATATATTTATTGTTAGTCTCTAAGATGCTACATGACCACTCTTTTTTTAAGTTATTTCACTGGGAGGGTGGTGAAGCACTGGAATGGGTTACCTAGGGAGTGGGTGGAATTTCCATCCCTAGAAGTTTTTAAGTCCCAGCTTGACAAAGCCCTGGCTGGGATTATTTAGTTGGGATTTTAGCAGGGGATTGGACTTGACCTTCTGAGGTCTCTTCCAACCCTATAATTCTAAATACAGCTCTCCCATTCACTTCAGTGGAATTTTCTTATCTCCAGGGAAGGCAGAATATCTGACACAAAACTCACCCTCTGGATCTCAGGAGTGAATTCTATCATTAGGAAAGATTCTGGTATAAATCTCAAGTAAATTTCTGCAGTCAAGTGAAATTGCAGGGCTCCCCCCACCTGCATGGTAACAAATCATTCCATCAGAAACAGTGACAAATTAAGTGTTAACATGTAGAAATGAGATTTTATTCATGCACGTGTATCTTCTGTCTGAAGACAGCAACAACTTTTTCACTCTCTTTGGGATATAGTCTCCTACTACTGCTTAAAACCTACACCTGTAACTATAATTAGGTTAATAAGGCTACAATCTTTATTCTCCTGAAGGCAGCCATGGAAAAATAAACCCCGCTTTCTCTACAGGCATTTGTGTTTATCCAGGCAGTGGGGATGGCTATGAGACAGAGGGGAGCAATTGTTTGGTAGTATGAATAAATCAGCCAAACAGAGATAGCACTTTTACACCATGTATGTGAAGAGTTATTGCCATCTCTACAAATAGCTGTTCTTAGAGGGTTACATCCCTTGATATTTCTGTATAATAGAATGTTCACTATGGGTTATTAAGATTAGGTTACAGTGTAGGTGGAGCAAAGACAAAGCATTGCTTCTGTGGTACACGACCATCACTAATTTCTGGAATAACCCTGATTTTGTCTGAATATCTTTAGTACCAGTTTAATCCTCCCACTGTCTCTCTGACTCACCCAATAACTTTCACACCCTCACAGACACAGTCCACTGCCATTTAGAACCAGAAAAATGGGCCAAAAAGTATTA